TGGAAAAGAGACCACCAGAGAACAGGTAGAAGAAAAACACATACTCAAGAAATTTAATTCTCTGCCCAGTTTATTCATTCTGGGTTGGTCCAAAGGCTGGGTTTAACACTCAATATGCAAGAGCTGCAGACGAAGTCTTCAGGGCCCACCCCTCACCCCTGCTTCCTGGACCTTTCGCCCACCCACCTATCAGGGACAAAACTCTTTAGAGATAGACAGGAAGAGCTCTCCCACTTTGCCTGGGAGACTGAGGGCCAGAGGCTGCATCAGTGACTTCCATGCCACTGTTCACTCATCAGTGTCCCCTCTTCATACCACTGCTCATCCACCAGGATTCTGCATTCTCTTGGCTCCCAGGAACAAAGCAGAGAGCTCAGCTACCTTACTCATTGATTTTAAGACTCACCCACTCTGTAACTCACGGAGTCTGCCAATCCCTGTTTGAAGGGCCATGCAGTGAAAGAAGAGGTTAAAACTCAGCGTCCTAAGCATTTCCAGAGGTTTAGGTTGACACTGTCCCCTTCCTGTCCCAGAAAGCCAACCTCTGGCTCATCTTGACAGTCCGACTTCAGAGAAATGGACCAAACCAATTCAACATCCAATGCTGTAAAGCCAGAGAGGTACAGCAAGGTAGAGGCACAGACAGGGAAGTGATATTTTCCTTATCAGCCTTGGAACATCTTGTCTGTTACTTGCAAACTTATACATACACATTGCTTTTCATCAGAAGCTTAAATCAACAGGGTTTGCCACAGCTCCTTTCCCAATGGAGAGATGGTTTGTTTGGGAACTAGTATTTTAGAACTCCCATTCTCCTGTTCTTCACAGGGTTCCACTATTACCATCTCCCCTGTCCCCATCTCCCATGTGCCCAAAGGTAGAGTTCAAGAGGGACAGTCCCCTATGTCCTTCTCTGTCCCCAATGCCACCATCATCTCCATCACTACTCCTAGTTCCCCTTCCTGACACCAGTTCTCCACCCACTGCCTGATAAAATTGCAGCCAAAATGCCATGGCAGGCCAGAGCAGCCACTAAACCTCCTACGGCAAAGCCAACATCAGGGAAAACAGCCGTAGCTCAGCAAGTCTGGGTTTAGTGAGGGAAAAGGAGAGGAAAGGTGGCCTGTAAATCCCAGGAGAACGAATCAGCCACAACCCTCAGATAAATGACAGCATGCTAGCCCTCTGTCTAGTAGACTCAGGGGAGAAGAAAGGCTGGGGTAGGCCACGAGGGACACAAAGTGTGGATGGACACTGCACTAGTACAGCTGGATATATATTTGCACACACCTGCTCATGAGTCTGCCTGCAAACACACATGCTCCTTATACCTCCCATGCCTGTGCCCACACCCATGCACCCCTGCACACACGACGGCTCTCTCCCATACACCCAACACAAGCCTGCACACTCAAACTCACTCATATACACACACATATTCTGCATATACATCCTCACTCATGTGCACATACATACACTGCTGGGTACCTGTCTATACACGCATATACAGATTTCCTCCTTCTTACATACTACACACACATATGTTCACTCTTACACACTTACATGTAGGTCTGCAGATAAGTTCGCTTGTGTGTACACATGTGCACACAGCACTTAAGCTCATTTATACATGCTTATTGACACATGCCTACACACACTTGCCTACATGTTAGCACGTTCACACTCATGCCTACCTGCAATCATGCCAGTAAATAATTATGTACTTATTAGGGCACAACCTCATACATGCCTGCAAATATACACATACACCCTTGCACACTTGTGGAGGCACACCCTTAGCCCTGGTCCTGGGGCCTGGATGGTGCTGCCCTCTGCTGGAGACAGCGAATAAGCTCCTTCCGGTTGTCTAGGATGGTGTCGAAGCTCTCCTGCAGTCGGGCCTGCTGATCAATCAACTGATGCTGCAGGCCCCGGATCCACTGCAGCAGTGCCAGGCGACGGTACATCACCAAGTGCACGTGGTGCTTTTCCTTCTCCTGCTCTTTGTAGCGCTCCTGAGCTTGCAAGTGCTGCACAGCCTGGGCCACTGAGGGCAGAAGGAGATCAGGAGGGCCAGGGCCTCTCAGAGTCCCACAGGCAGGCTCAGGACTGCTGCTAGGGCTGTCGATGCTCAGGGAACTGCTGGCATAGCCGTTGTCCTCCAGAGGGGAGCAGACTGTGCCAGCACTACCCATCTTCTCAGGTTCAGCCCCGGGAATCTCTGCCCCCTCTGGGGGGCTGCGCACCCCTTCCTCAGGGGACCCAGGGGCCTGGAAGGCCTGGTTGTCAGAGGGCGACTCAGAGGAGCTCCTCATCAGGATCGGTTCCACTCTGCCTGGCATCCCATGCCAATTCTCATTAGCATCCTTGGCACTTGCCATGAAGTTGGAGTTGCTGTCTGGTTGGAGCTCAGGCTGACATACTCCAGGAGGCAGGTCCCCCAAGATTTGCCCCCCCTCAGCTAGCCCTGGCTGGATGGCGAACATCTGGTCTGTAAAGGGAAAGCAGGAGACTGAGTCACAGTAGGACAGGGCAGAGTACCTTAAGTCAGGGCAACTTAGCTGCAGGGACGAAGCTGCGAGCAAGAGCCTGGCCACTCCCTGTCAAACCCTTTCTTGCCTCTGGTAGCACTTCCCTTCATGGTTTTCATCCTCCCTGTTCATCCATCTACCTGTTCATTCTCTGCCTCCTGCAGAGGGTTTTTCCTCAGCCCTCAGAGCCAGGCTGTCTTCTCATTTTGTGCATTTCTCTCCAGATAACCTCATTCTCTGCTGTGGCTTCAAGGACCATCATATGCTGGTGACTCTCAGATCGGTCTTCAGCCCAGATCTAACTGCTATCCAACCCTGCAACCAACCATAAGCTCCTCAAATTCTTTTTAACCAGTCTGAGTGCGGTGGCTCACCTGAGGTCAAGAGTTCAAGACTAGCCTGGCCAACATGGCAAAACCCAATTTCTACCAAAAATACAAAAATTAGCCAGGCATGGTGGCAGGTGCCTGTAATCCCAGCTACTTGGGAGGCTGAGGCAGGAGAATCGCTTGAGATTTCAGTGAGCTGAGATTGCGCCACTGCACTCCAGCCTGCGTGAGAGTGAGAATCCGTCCCCCGCCACCCCCCCCAAAAATTCCAAACAAACTCTCCTTCTTCAGTATCCTCAGCAAAATGGCTCTGCGCTCCATCCAGAAGGCTGGGAGCATCCTGGGCTCCTCACTCTCTTTCCTTCTCCCATCTCATTGATAACCACGTTCTGACCATTCTTCCTCTTCCAGGCCATTTCTGACTTGGATTATTGCCACGGCCTTTTCACTGATCGCTCTGCCTCCAGTTAAAAATGTAAATTTGACTTGTCACTGCTCCAAGTGCCCTCTCTGAACTCCTGCTAAACCTCTATGTGGCCTACAAGGCCCTGTTTGATCTGGCCCCTGCTCGCCCCTCCCATCATAGCAAACCGCCCAGGGATCTCAAAACACAACATTGTTCTTCTTACACTATTCCTCTGGCCTTCAATATCCTCTCCCCTCAAAGCTCCTCCCTTCACCCAGCCAATTTCTTTTTTGTACTTCAAAACTCAGCTGTAATATCCCCATGTCTCCATGTCCCCATGTCTATGAAGCTGTCTTGATACTGCCCCAATATTACATAAACAAGCATGGTTACTTATGCCTTCCTCTGGGTCCCTATTGCCCTGGGTACACACCGTCTCATCCAGCTTTGTGTCTGTCCCTGGCATACATGATGGACGATCAGCGAATGTCTATTTGACTGGCATTTTTGGTTTGTTGTAATGATCTTGTAATAGCAGTTTGTAATCTGGTTTGGACCTCCTCTATATATCCTCCATTATATTTCCCAGAGCCAGCATAGAGCTCGGAACCAGGCTGTCTGTGCATATAGGCACTTACTGAGTGAAGGAATGGGAGAAGAGACTGCAGTGAATTTCCATACTCAGTAAGCTGCTGCCGACTCCCCAGAGCTAGAAGAGCTGGGTTCTGGAAGAGCAGGGTTCGGTTCCCTCTCTGCTCCAGGGAGCCCGGCCTCCCCCAGTGACAAGCTTTTCTTCTGAGCCTGCCCCCTTCCCTCCCAATGCCCCTGAAACAAGGCCACTATCTTGTGTCCCTGTCCCTAGCTTGAGCCATCCTGATGCCCTGGAGGGAAGGCATGCCACACCACTCTTCTCTCCCGGGTAACCAGCTTCTAACCAAAATTAGGGTTTGAATTGACAAAGGGATTCTACTGACCAAACAGCACTGGGAGTAGAACAATTGACGATCATGAAGGGGAAGGATACTGTAAATGGAGCCGGTACTGGGAGGCGCTCCATAGGTCGCAGGGACCCTCCCCACCTCCAGCAATGGGCAGAAGTCCTGGGGAGAAGGGTGTGCGAACAGTTCCTTTGTTATCACCCTCTAAGCAAGGTTTGTGGGAAGATGCATGGAGATCTCCCCTCGCCCTAATGCATTCTTTTTTCGTATACTTGAATGAAAGCCGGGATGGGGTGGAGGTGGCGCTAGGGATCACAAGGTTCTTAGAGATAGTAAAATGGAAACCCCAACACCCCAGGACTAGGTCTTCCCCCAAATAGGAGGCATCCTCCGTTCCTGGCCTTGTGGAAGTGGGCGACCATCCCCGGAGACAGAGCCCAACCTTCCCTAGTCTCCGCGAAGAGGCAGCTGTGACTCCCCGCTTCCCGCGGCTGGGCCCCAAGCCCTCCCCCTCCGGCCCCGGACACGGACTCACGGCCTAGAGGCGCCGGCTCCGGCGCGTCTGGCTCTGGCTCCGCCCGGCCCCGGTGATGCCCAGTCCCTGGGCTGGGGGTTCCTCGGCCTGGGCGTCTCCGCGGTCCAGGCGTGGGTGCGGGGCTCCCGGGCAGCGCGCCCAGCCCCAGGCGGGGACTGCAGAGTCGGGCGGCGTCTGCGCGGCGGGGCGGGGCGGGGCGGCCGGGCCCACGTGGGCCGGTTCGGTTTTCCGCGGAGCCGCGCGCCAGGCCCTTGCGCCGGAACTGCCTCGCCCCTGCGCGGGGCCGCCTTGACCCAGGCCTTCCAGGTCCGGTGCTCGCTCCTATTGGCATTCGCTGGGCCCTTCCGATCGGTTCGCCTCACTGCAGACAGCGTGACATTTTCAGGTGAAATCTGATTAGTCACCACCTTCCGGCCTTAGACCCCTCTACGGCTTCCGCACTGCCGGGACATCCCCTAATGCAGCAGCCGCGGGGCTCTGCGCTTCCTCCCCTCTGTCGGCCTCTCCCGCTTCCTCCTCTACGGTCCCTCTACGCAGCTACCCTCCAGCTTTCCGCTCTTCCCCTCTCCACTTACTCCTTTTTCAGATCTCTTCTCAGAGAAATCTCTGACTCCCTGGACCACATTCGTTCCCCCTTTTATGTCAGGGCACGTTCCTTTCCTTCATAGCATTTATCACAGTTTGGGATTATATATTCTTTTTCGTGCTCATTTGACTAAAGTCACTTAGTAAAAACTATGTTTTTAGAGAAGACAGAAGAGGCCGAGCACGGTGACTCACACCTGAAATCCCAGCACTTTGGAAGGCCGAGGCGGGCGGATCACTTGAGCTCAGGATTTCGAGACCAGCCTGGCCAACATGGTGAAGTCCCCTCTACTAAAAATACAGAAACTAACTGGGCATGGTGGTGGGTGCCTGTAATCCCAACTACTCAGGAGGCTGAGGCAGGAGAATCGCTTGAACCTGGGAGGTGAGGGTTGCAGTGAGCCAAGATTGCACCACTGTACTCCAGCTTGGGAGACAGAGTGAGACTCCGTCTCAAAAAAAAAAAAAAAAAAAAAAGAGAGAGAGAAAGAAAGATCCGGCCTGGTACAGGACCCAGGGCTGATGTCTGTACCCGGGACAGGGGCTCTCCACAGGACACAGAGCCCATCCATGACACCTGGACAGTGGGCACCTGTGCGTTTGCCCAGGTAAGGAGGAACGACGTGATAAGAAAGGGTCCTGGGTTCCAAACTCCAGTAGATTCTTGTCAGAGGTCCACTCTACTGAAGCTTGATCCCCCTCACTCTTTTGCATCCTGGGGAAATTTGAAGTTGGAGACTCCATTTGCAATTAAAGAAAACAGAGTAGAGTAATTGCTGATCCTAATATATGAGGTATCCTCTTCCAGTTTCAACTTGATTCCAAGTCACCATTCTGCAACCCACAGACTAATTGGCAAATTAAATCTCACCAAGAAATCCTATATGCAAAAACAGGGGAAATGGAAAAGAAATTTTTATGATTATGAGGACTATTTTAAGAGGGAAAAAGAAATAAGAAGGAGAAGGCAGAAGTAATTCAGACTTTGCACACTCCTCCAGCTAAGAAAATACAAGTGGAGACCTCAGCCCCATTTCTATATCAGATCCTGTGGCCTGAGTCTTCTCCCTTCCTTATCCGCTGCAGGTTCCCCTGGCCTTCAGCCTGGGGTGACCCAAATCCTCACTCTCTTTTTGAGATGGAGTCTACCTCTGTTGCTCAGGCTGGAGTGCAGTGGCGCGGTCTCGGCTCACTGCAACCTCCACTTCCCAGGTTCACATGATTCTAGTGCCTCAGCCTCCTTAGTAGCTCAGGGTATAGGCACACACCATCACACCCAGCTAATTTTTGTTATAGAAACTCATGTCTTTTACCTCTGATAAATGTTCTTCTATTATTTCTGTGCTAGCTCTTCTCTCCATTTTCTCTGATCTCTTAGTATCTAAAGGTCTTTTTGTTTTGTTTTTTTCTGAGAGAGTGATCTTTCTGTGTATGTTATGGAAGGGACCTGGTTCTTTTTTTTTTTTAATTTTTTTTTTTGAGACAGAGCCTTATTCTGTTACACAGGCTGGAGTGCAGTGGTGTGATCTCGGCTCACTGCAACCTCTGCCTCTCAGGTTCAAGTGATTCTTTTGCCTCAGCCTCCAGAGTAGCTGGGACTACAGGTGCGTGCCACCTGCCCAGCTAATTTTTGTATTTTTAGTAGAGATGGGGGTTTCACCATGTTGGCCAGGCTGGTCTTGAACTCCTGACCTCGTGATCCACCCATCTCAGCTTCCCGAAGTGCTGGGATTACAGGCATGTGCCACTGTGCCTGGCCAATGCTGTCACCTTCTGACCTGCAATACCCAGAATCTCAGAGACAGGAAGAAAACTCTTAGTCCTTAGGTGCAATCATATAAGGTGCCACAACCACTTCTACCTTTTCCTATGCATTCTTGCCACAAAGGACAAAGCATTATATACATTGATTTAAAGACTATATTGGGCCTGGCATGGTGACTCACACCTGTAATCCCAGCACTTTGGGAGGCCAAAGCAGGCAGATCACTTGAGGCTGGGAATTTGAGACCAGCCTGGCCAACATGATGAAACCCCATTTCAAAAATACAAAAATTAGCCAGGTGTGGTGGTTCACGTCTGTAATCCCAACTATTCAGGAGGCTGAAGCAGGAGAATCACTTGAAGCCAGGAGGTAAGAGTTTGGACGGAGCTGAGATCGCACCACTGCACTCCAGCCTAGGTGATAGAGTGAGACTCTGTCTCAAAAAAATAAAAAATTAAAAAAAAATGAAGCCTATATCATGCTCTGCAGGGCAGCACCCCAACCTGAAATAGCTGAGTCATCAATTCCATTGTTCTAAAAAGCTAGTTATTCCCTTTTCTTTTTTTTTTTTTTTTTTTGAGATGGCATCTCTCTTTGTCTCCCAGGCTGGAGTGCAGTGGCATAGTCTCAGCTCACTGCAACCTCCCGCTCCCAGGTTTAAGCAATTCTCCTGCCTCAGCCTCCTGAGTAGCTAGGATTACAGGCGCCCACCACCACACTTGGCGAATTTTGTATTTTTAGTAGAGACAGTGTTTCACCAAGCTGGCCAGGCTGTTCTCAAACTCCTGACTTCAGGTGATCTGCCCTCCATGGCCTCCCAAAGCGCTGGGATTACAGGTGTGAGTCACCACGCTGGGCCTAAAGCTAGTTACTTCTAAATAATATAATACCTGCCAAGCCAAGTGAATTCATTTGAAGTGCATCAAATTGTAGCCTCCTTTTTTCTTTCTTTTTTTTTTCTGAGACAGAGTCTCACTCTGTCAACCAGGCTGGATTGCAGTGGTGCAGTCTCCACTCACTGCAATGTCCGCCTCCCAGGATCAAGCGATTCTCATGCCTCAGCCTCCTGAGTAGCTGGGACTACAGGCATGTGCCACTGCACCTGGCTAATTTTTGTATTTTTAATAGAGATGGGGTTTCACCATGTTGCCCAGGCTGGTCTCGAATTCCTGGCTTCAAGTGATCCGCCTGCCTCGGCCTCCCAAAGTGCTGGGATTACAGGCGTGAGCCACCGCACCTAGCCTGTAGCCTCTTTGCTTAATCAAGGGCAATGTTGTATGGAATATTCTAGCACTGTATAATTAATACAGTCAGTGCTCACACAGCAGTCCTGACCACTCCATAATCTTCAGAGTTTAAAGCCTGAAAAACAAAAAGCCCCAGGAAGGCAGGGATGTCCATGTCTGCGGGAAGACAAAAAAGCAGCTGTAGAGATGCCTGTTTTTCATTCACCAGAGGATTTTCCCATGAGGACACCAGAGAATTATTCACCCCAAGTGAAAGGGTGTCTGTGGCTGTGTTCACCTACCCACATATATGCCAGGGACTTCAGTGGCAAGGACATAGAAATCTCCAGAGACGGCCCGTATCACCCTGAACAGGGCTCTGCAGAAGGCCATGCCATCGAGACCCAACTATGGACAGTGGATAAGCCTCTTGACAAGCAGACAGATGTCAGAGCCAAGAGAGGCTAGCAGTGAGTAGCCAGGAAGGTGAGGGAATTTCACTTCCCCGGTGAGTAACCAGGGAAGATGAGAGGAATTTCTCATCCAGGAAATAGGATAGGCATAAGGGTTATTCACGGGTAGATGATTTCTCAATGTCAGTATTCTCAGGAAGAAGGGTGGGTAGGATCAAGGTGTTTCAGCTTCAAAGACCTTGTCCCTTCCCATCCATTCATTTATGAGTATCATACAGTTACAGAGTCCTTACTTTGTGTCAGGTACTGTGTTGGGAATTCAGAACAGAATCAGAACTGGTCGTGGTCTTGGGGAACTCCTTGTTTAGAAAGGGTAACAGAAGGCCTGGAGTGGTGGCTCACGCCTGTAATCCCAGCACTTTGGGAGGCCAAGGCAGGCAGATCACTTGAGGCTAGGAGTTCGAGACCAGCCTGATCAATGTGCTGAAACCCCGTTTCTACTAAAAATACAAAAATTAGCTGGGCATGGTAGTACACGCCTATAATTCCAGCTACTTGGGAGGCTGAGGCACAAGAATTGCTTGAACCTGGGAGGCAGAGGCTGCAGTGAGCCACGATCACACCACTGCACTCCAGCCTGGATGACAGAGCCAAAACCTGTTTCCAAAAAAAAATAGAAGAGTGAGCTATAACAATGTAATGGGCCCTCCAACAGAGCAAGAAGGTAAAACTAGTGAGCCCCAAGAAGGGTAAGGAAAGGATTCTCAGAGGTTATTATATTTTTTTAAGAGATGGGAGTTGGCCAGGCAGGGTGACTCATGCCTGTAATCCCAGCACTTTGGGAGGCTGAGGCGGGTGGATCACGAGGTCAACAGATCGAGACCATCCTGGTCAACATGGTGAAACCCTGTCTCTACTAAAAATTACAAAAAAAATTAGCGGGGCACGGTGGCGCGTGCCTGTAGTCCCAGCTACTCAGGAGGCTGATGCAGGAGAATTGCCTGAACCCAGGGGGCGGAGGTTGCGGTGAGCCGAGATCGCGCCATTGCACTCCAGCCTGGGTAACGAGCAAAACTCCGTCTCAAAAAAAATAAATAAATAAAATTAAATTAAAAAAAAGAGAGAGAGATGGAGTCTTGCTGTGTTGCCCAGGCTTGTATCAAACTCCTGGCCTTAAGTGATCCTCCCACCTTGGCCTCCCAATATGCTGGGATGACAGGTATGAGCCACTGCACCCAGCCAGCACAGTGATATTTGAGCCAGGCCTTGAGGGATGAAAAGGAGTTCACCAAGAGAAAGCAAGAGAAGGCATGGGAGACTGCATTTTCAGAGTGAGTTCAGGAAACACCCCACAGGCCAGTGTGGCTGGAGCTCAGTGGACAGTGGAGGTAAGGTG